GGGGGGGCTCATTTGCTTTCTTGCAAGCATACAAGGCCACAAGTTCCTCAATGGTGTGCCTTTGGGCCCCTGTGGCACCTTGCAGGCATTGCCTCAGCTTATCAGGTTCCCTCCCCAGCCTCCTCACATGGCTCAGAATACAAACCATCTGGCTTGCAATTTTCCCAGCCCAGAGGTCGTCTTTCCAGTCACTGGTGTTGTGGGAGTGACCATATTTTTGAATGCACTGCTTCAGTTGCCCTGCCAAGATCTCGCCTTTTGAGATATTGAAAAAATCTTTCACCCATGCGGCATTTTGATGTAGGCCTGCTGCACTCACAGCAGTGGTCACCTTTTTGGTGTCGTATTCACCTAATAGAAAAGCTGCAGCGCCCTTGGACTCCACAGCCCTGTCAATGATGCCTTGCAGGGCATCCATATCCACTGGTGGCACAGAAAATCTCCTGGCACCACCCTTGGACATGGCTTTCTTTCAAGCCCTCTGCCCTTAAACACATGGACGCACCTGTAAGCCAAATGCTGTGTGGCTTTGTTTGAAAATGAACTGCCTGATGTTGATAGATCATGGCTAGGGCATCATGAACTGCCTGATTTTGACATTGATATTGGCCTTGATACTGGTTGTAATATTGGTCTGGATATTGATCATGATATTGGTCGATATTGATCAAAAATATTGATTTTTTTCAATCCCCAATATTGAAAAAGATCAATCCTACGATTGAAAAAAATCAAGTTCAATATTATTGAAAATTTTTTCCAATATTGATTTTTTTCAATATCGGATCCTCAGGGTATTATATGATGTCAACGTCGCGCTGCTCGCCAGCGCCACAAAGGAAGCTTACCACGGCTTACAACTCAATTTTTCGCCCCGGGGAGGCCCTGGGTGGAAGCATGATAGGACAAGGCCGAAGCAGAAAATAGACTATACGGCGAACAGCCTTATAGGCTATCTATGCGTCCTTTCAACCTGTCTTGGACTACTAAGATGACGACGACGACTACTACTACCAGTACTATCCCTCTGCCAAATGGCTTGGAAGTTTTTTAGGTTCAGAGTTTTGACTACACCGAAAAAATCACGGGGGGGTTTGCTAATGATAAAGGACTGAATATATGTGAATAGATGTGAATAGTGAGTGAGTGCCAACGCTTGTCACTTCTAGTGGGAGTGGCGCACCGATTTTCTTCATCAGGTACATTGTTTTCCAGCTCTTTACGCACCGCACAGCTGCGTCCCCAGAAACACGCGTTCACGCAGATCAGAAAAAGCTGAGAATCCGACACGCTTTTTGTGGCAACAGAGCGGTTTACCCGACGGCTTAGCCGACAGGTGATGGCGGACACCGGCGACGGAGATGGGGAGGAAGAGGTGAGTTGCGTCGGAGCAGTCGAACTTTTGGCGCGAGACTGTGGTTTTAGTAGTGGGTTACCCGGTTTACACGCATTGGTAAGTATATGCTATGTCCCTACCAAGTTTGTAGTACATTGTTATAACAGATTATATTCCTTTAACTAGTAGCAAAATTAACATGACCATGTAACTTTATTTAACTCACTTATTAATCAAGACAGTTTTTTACTTGAGTTATTAAATAAGCTATGTTCTTTTGTAATGTAAGCTAGCAAAATTAGTTTGTTTAGCTAACTACTTTTTAAATTTGCCAAAGTGCTATCTTATAGTAAATATAGGAACAACAAGCCGTGAAAAATATACTAGGTATTTTCAAAGCTGTGGATGTTTTCCCGAGAGCGCCTCTCGCCTGCATTTCGCGCCCTCGACGCGTGCGATCTCCGCAGAGGGTTGCGCCGGACCGGGCCAAAACGCACTCTCGCCTGCGTATCGCGCCCTCGACGCGCACGATCTCCAAAACGCACTCTCGCTTGCGTTTCGCGCCCTCGTTTTGGACTGGTCGCTTGGAGGAAGTCTCGTACGAAACGCTGGCTTTGGAGACTTGGCGGAAGTCTCGTACGAAACGCTGGCTTTGGAGACTTGGCGCTTCACTTTTGGAGGAAGTCTCGTACGAAACGCTCGTTTTGGAGACTTGGCTTTGGAGGAAGTCTCGTACGAAACGCTCGTTTTGGAAACTTGGCGCTTCACTTTTCGAGGAAGCCTCGTGCGAAACGCTGTTTCTGGAGAGTTGGCGCTTCACTTTTGGAGGAAGTCTCGTACGAAACGATCGTTTTGGAGACTTGGCGCTTCACTTTTGCAGGAAGAAGTACGCTGGTTTGGGAGACTTGGCGCTTCACTTTTGGAGGAAGTAGTCAGTACGAAACGCTCATACTTGGCACTTCACCTGTGGAGCTGGACTCAGACCTGGCCAGTTTGTAGCGCAAATGTAGCGCGGGAAAGATCTTTTCGGAGCTGGACTCAGAAGTGGCCAGTTTGTAGTACAAATGTAGTACGGGAAAGAGCTTTTTTGAGCTGGACTCAGAAGTGGCCAGTTTGTAGTACAAATGTAGTACGGAGCCTTTCGGAGCTGGACTCAGAAGTGGCAAGTTTGCAGTATGTAGTGCAGGAAACAGCGTTGCGGAGCTGGACTCAGAAGTGTTGGCTATCCGGCGTGATATGGTTGCCTCTAGTGTGTGGGCGGAGCGTGTGGCGAATTACGTCCGTGATGTCGCAGTGCCATGCGGATTTGC